GTATTTATTTAAAGATGCATTTATATATTTCATTCTGTCTCTTTTCGTCCTCCATATGCTGATTTAAACATTAGAATAAATAAAATATATGAAACCCTTATGTTTGGATGTATCGCACATACATTCGTGTGAGTAGCAGTGGAATGATGCTTAACTAGTGTTTCCAGGTCCCCCGCAGTCACAGTGCAACCACAGAAACCCGGACCTTCACACCTATCTGTAAGTTGTGTCAGCTTACAGCTTCAGCTGCTCTACAGAATACTACACTGTGATCATTTGAACATTGAAAGGTGACCAGAAAATAGAAGAACTACTTTGAGTGGCTTGTTATTGCAGGTAGGGGTTTTTTGGTCTACTGAAGTGAGTGTATATATGTTCAAGGTTGAGAAAACACAGACCCAGAGTCAAACACATATGTGTTTCTTGGTCCAGAATCAAAGGAAACACCAGGACTGCTACTGTAAAATAAGCCCGCTCATGGCTGGATGAACCCCTGGCAGGGTGCAAGATAATAAGCTCTCTCTGTTTTTCAGACTCCTGGTTTTCAGGGTCTCCAAAAGTTAAATTGATGGTGAAACCTCCTCTGCTTTGAAAAAAATCCTCCACGCAAAACTCTGGCAGGCTCATGACCCTCTCAGACTCAACACACAGGGTTAACTTTAGGTGAACAGCTTGTAATGATCTGTCTCCTTTTGGGCTGAGGAGATTTAAAAACATTTCTCAGACAGCATTCCTATCTTGTTCCAAACCAGCTGTACTGTACAGGCATCTTATAAGTCACCAGACAACAAAGATCTGACAGTTATGAACTGTGCCAAGGCCACAAACAGCTTTTTAAAACTGTAACAGAAAATTAGACGGTTTAAATATTTTAGAGTGTTACTTTTGCAGCATATTTAAGCATTTGTATAGCATATTATAGTGTTATTTTTAAAGCTTATCTAAGCATTATGATAACATATTACTTTTACAGCTTTTTAAAGTATCATCATAATATAGCATAGAGTTATAGTTACAGCATATTCAAGTATCATTATAACATATTGATTTATATAATGGAAAAGTCATCATGTTCTCTCTGGGTCCAAAAGGAAAAGTTCTATCACATGTGGACTAAATGGACTGAATATGTAAAACATGAACGAACTGATTTTGTGTGAACAGGTATTTAATTTGTGAAAGTTTGCCCCCATTGCTCGTTGAATATTGAAAAGTACTCTCTTATGTTTATTTTTGTATATCTCAATTGATCTCCTAAAATGTGTTTTTGTGTAAAATTTAAATATCTACATCTATATCTATGTCTACAACACTTTTAAGCTGAAAATCATGCAAAACACCTTTAAAGTGTCCCAGACTGACACCATTAAAGGTGAAAACAGGAATAACTGGTCTTTAAAAAAAAAGAAGAAAAAAAAACACACACACCTCAGTTCTGGGTTTGAAGATATGTTTTCCTATTTTTATTTACTAATATTGTGGGGGATCACTGATGTTTTGAAGGGGCACAATAACATGTTCCTGTATTTTAATACGTAACAACAATGTCCTGATGTTGAAACCTGTTAAAGAGGCAAAAGTGAACAAGGTATTCTCTTCTTGACTAATTCAAAAGTAAAGGATATTTCTGGACTTGATGCTGTCCTCCCTAAAAGAAAAAAAAAATGAAACTTTAAGTTCACTTTCCCGATTGTTCAAGTGATCAATCAGTCATTTCAAGAGAGTACATTTCCAACTTTAAAATCTACAATTGTGACCCCTGTACTTAAATCAGGGGATAAAGAGGAAGTAAGTTATTTTAGACCAATCAGTATATTTTCTACAAGCTCAAAGGCCGTGGAAAAAGTAGTAGCTCATCTGGACTCTCAAGCCAAACCATTCAACTGAAACAGTGAGCTGCTATTTCATTTAGAAAATTGAACAAAGGAGGGTTTTTCCTGGACCCAGGTAAGACCTATGGTACAGTTAACCATCAGTTACTTTTCTCAAAGCTGTCAACATACAGTCACGAAAACTGCCTCCTCCTCAACACCTCAAAGACAAAGGAGACGGTCATGCACTCCTGTAGATCCAAACCTCCTCTTCAGCCAGTGAACACCTGTGGAGTGGACATCGAAGTGGTGACATTATATAAATATCTAGGTGTACATCTGGATAATAAGTTGGACTGTTCTAAGAATATAGACTTCATCTACCGAAAGGGGCCGAGCCGCCTCTATTGCCTGAGAAGACTCCTATCAAAAGACATCCGTTGTTAGATGCTCTAGATGTTTTATCAGTCCGTGGTGTCTACAGAGTTCTGTTTTACACTGCAGTCTGCTAGGGGGAGGAAGCATCAAACACAAAGATGCAAGACGTCTGAAAAAACTAAAAAAAAGCTGGCTCTGTGGTTGGACTCAAGCTGGACTCAGTGGAGGATGTGGTGTAGAGATCTACACTGAGGAAGGTGGATAGTATTCTGAAGAACATGGATCACCCACTTCACAACACCTTAATGGACAACTCTTCTGTAAATAGTAGATGACTTTTAGAGACATGACAAATGAGTCGACAGACAATCAAAAAAGTTCTTCTTATTCTTATACAAATTCTTAATAATCTAAACTGGGCACAATCCTATTTATCAGGTCGCTTCCAGTGTGTGCAGATAAATAATGCTCAATCACCACTAGGAGCAAGCACCATGGGCATACCACAAGGCTCCATCTTAGGACCAGTGTTATTCAGCTTCAGATGACACCGTCAAACATTCATGGCAGTGTGATTGTGAATTAAGTGCGGGCGGGTATATATGGCAGCATGCTCTTTAAGTGCGAGTTAAGAGACTTGGGAGGATCGTTGTGAGGTTTTGAGTTTATGCAGCAGTTGGGTTTCCTGTGCTCCTCTCCTCTGTATGTTTTCCCTCTCTCTCTCCCTGCAGCACTGGAGGCACAGCAGGAAGTGGGGCTGGTCCGGACTGATTGCACACTCCTGATTCTCGTTGTTGTCAGTTACCTGGCTTTATATGCCAGCTCCTCTGTCGACTCAGTGCTGAATGATTTCTCAGCCATGCGACATGTGTCTTGCCACGCCGAGCTCCCTGATCTCCCGCCGGAGTATCCAGCCTGCCTCTCAGTGTTTGTTAGTGAGTTCTTTTGTTACTTTCCAGAGAATTTTTCCCTTGAGCAAAGGTGATTTTATGTTCATGTTTTTTCCTCTAGTTGAGAAGATTTTTTGGTTTACTATTTCTGTTGTACTTTGTCTTTTACCTCCTTGGTTGTTACTTGCCCCACGTGGCACTATCATTTGAACTTTGTTTTTTCCAGCTATTTGCCTTGCTGCAGTGATTCCCGTCTAAAGGTCCTTACACAGCAGCGAATTTGCGGATCAAAGCGAAAAAGCGAGACGACAATGCGAATATTCGCCGGTCCGAAAAATCATTTACGCCTATACACACCGGGCGCGGAGCGAATATGCGTATAAATTTTGCAAAGTGAATTAATAAATATATATTCTCTTTGGCACAAGTTCTTTCGCGCCACGGAGGAGAGGAGAACAAAGAAATTGAGTCAACAACATCCTCAAGCAATGATGAGCTCGTTGTGATGCTTTTGGCAAAAAAAAGAAGACAGAAGAATAAACAAAGGAGTGTTTGGGTACATCCCAAGATGTACCCAAGTTTATCAAGAGACCAAGAGATGGGCAAGTTCCACACCACCATCCAGTGGTCCTGTACCGCGATTACCAGCCTCTCTCCCATCGTTGCTGTCGGTGGTGTGTGTCTTGTGAACTGCAGCCGCATGGGTCTGTGACATCATTGACAACATAACTTTTGATTGGCCAGAGGTCTAGCAGGTCCAGATACTCGCCCGCGAATATCCGAGAAATTCGACACAAGAGCAAAAAAAATAAGTCGCTTTTTCCCCCGCGGAAAAATCGCAGCCGGTGTGGAAGCTTGCATTGACTTTATGCTGTTTTTAAAAAAGGCGAATAATTTGCCTGGCGAATTCGTGCCTGGGGTCCGTTTCACGTAGCAGGTTTAATCGAAACTTAGAGTCTGTTAACCCTGAAATCAGGGAAACTCTGAGTTTTCCGTTTCAGAAAGGAGGGTCAGTTAAACCAGGGAGAGAGGGGTAACTCTAACCTGTTTCACAAAGAGAGGTAACTCAACCTCGCGCTCAGTTACCATAGTAACAGACTCTGTGAACCTAACCTGGTCGGGACCAGCTTTTACTCAGTAAACCCAGAGTTTCTCTCTGTCTCCGCCCTCTTTCAGCCACACGCTCCTTTTGATTTCTGTCAGCCGCTGAGTTTTGAACAGCTGATTTAAGTCATCTTGGTCCATTCGGCACAGTAGCTACTGCAATCTACGACGATGGCGTGTCCTTTTCTTGTAGATCCAGTTGACGAAGGTGCAGCGATCATGCGCGGGGAAATACATATGCATCGAGAGATCATCCTTAGACCCTGAATTGACATTTTAGCCCTCCCTGACAATTTTCTTTTTGAGCGGTATCATTTTTCTTCACAATCTATTATTTATATTCACAACCTTATCCATCCACACATTTCGAACATAACCGGTCGCAGTAAGGCGCTCACATCAGAGCAAATATTATGTGTTGCGCTGCATTACTTCGCAAACGGGAGTTTTTTATACAACATCGGAGATGCGGAGCAATCAAGCAAGGCAACAGTATGCAGGGCGATCCGAAAAGTCTGCCTCGCCCTGACACGGCTTTTGCCGATTTTTGTGGTCTTTCCTGGACACAAACCTGTCTGAGCCATCAAGGAGGAGTTCCACAAGATCGCAGGTAAAGGATGTACAGATCTGTTTCATGGTATTAATTGTAAAACCTCCAGACATGTCATCTTTTTACGTCCTGTCTGGGTCTTTTTTTGTTTATATAAATTCCTGAAATGTCCTATTTTGTCGTAATTGTGGAAATCAAAATATTGTCACCCTATATTGATATTGTGCTGTAACATCATACTGAGATTAGTAAATTTAATTTGTTTTAGGATTCCCCAATGTAATAGGCTGCATTGATGGCACACACATCCCCATCAGGGCTCCTTCACATAATGAGGCAGATTATGTGAACAGGAAGTCGACACATAGCATCAATGTGCAGGTACATATACTGCTTCAACATGTTAAACACCTCATCATAGTTCAATTAACATCTGTCATTCTCTGCACTGTCAAGATCATATGTGATGCTAAATACATCATCACCAATGTGGAGGCCAAGTGGCCTGGATCAGTCCACGACTCAAGGGTGTTCCGCGAGTCAAACCTGAACGCCAGACTCCAACGTGGTGAGAAGCCTGAAGGTTTGCAGTATAACTCTCTTGTCTCCCTCCTTTAATACACTCATGCATCCACTCTATATTACAGGAGAGTTTGACGGCCTTCTGCTGGGTGACAGGGGTTACCCGTGTCAACTGAGGCTACTGACCCCATACCCAGACCCTGAACCAGGCCCCCAACAGAACTTCAACCGGGCTCACTGCAGGACGAGAGCCCGGGTGGAGATGACCATAGGCCTGCTGAAAGCCCGTTTCCAGTGCCTACGTCACCTCAGGGTGACCCCCGAGAGGGCCTGTGATATTATAGTGGCATGTGTTGTTCGTCATAATATTGCCACTATTAGAGGAGAGCAACACCCCGCCCTACAAATTGAGGAGCCAGATGATGACCCCATCCACCTGCCACCAATTCAGGACGGCCGAGCAGTCAGAGACGCAATCTGCCGTAACCACTTTTGAGTTTCAAGCACCCCCACCACCATCACCTCCTACACCACCATCACCACCCCCAGAAATAAAAAAAATCATGAAGCGCATTTCAGTTGTTTTTCTTTATTTCCTACAAATACAAAAGACAGTTAAGTTAATGTTCCAATAGTTCACATCATTAACATAAATGATGTGTGACCATGCAACCACCTTTAAGTTGTGCTCCAGTATTCCTATTTCAAGATCTGCTTTTTTTTATCTGGCGGTCCAGCAATAGCATCTCTTTATCCATTTTTTTTATTTTTTTTAAAAGATGTATTTTATATACATCTTTTGCTGGTAACTGGGAATACATAAGGAGGACATTTCATTAACTAGTTGCACATGAATTCTCACTGAATCAATGTGTGCCGTGGACATCGAGGGAGCCTCCTGCTGCTGCCCAGCCACACTCTGTTCAAAAGGGATGAGAATGTGTTAATAGCGTCACTCTGGACTCCACCAGAATGGTCAGAAATGTCAGTGGGAAGAGAAATCTTGGTCACATATTAAGAAGCTACCTCCATAGGCCTTCCTGGCTCCTCCACTGTAAACGCAGCAGATGTGGTTTGCTCCTCATCATCATCGTCTTCGTCCTAGATGAGTGATATGACTCAGTATTCTTAAACTACCATTCAGCAAAGGCTTTCGAGTATTGCCTACTTACAGCTGCGTCATGAGGGGGTTCCAGGAGGCGAATGGCACCATCAGAATCTGTCGGGACAAAAGGAAAAATACATTAAAGGGAAAGAAATATTTGTATGAATAGGCTTACAAAGAGAGGAATATATAGGTAGAGAAATATTACATATTATGTAGGCACTTGTGTCTTGGGTGGGGGGGACCTCAGAGGACGAGCTCCCGCCAGGGATTCCCTCAGCCACTGGCCATCCCCTGTTCTGGCTCAGGGCCAGCTCCTCTGCTTCTGTTAGAGGTGGGGCTGCTGGGCCACCACCGGTTTTTCGGGCGTCTGCCCTCTTTCTGTTTGCTGAGTGAAAGTCTGTGTTAGTTTATTATTCCTAATCATTTAACAGAACATCATAAGAGAGTAAAATTCATTTTTGAATGTGAAAAGAGCATTTTGTAAGGGATCAAACTGCCACTTAATACTTACTTGACAATGTAAAACATGATCAAAATGAGAAAATGCAGATGTCTCACCTGTTTTTATATTTTATTTTCAGCTGCTGCCAAGTCCGCTTTTGTCCCGCTGGATTGCACCTACAAAAAACAAATTAATTTGCTCCATGCAAGCAGTTTCCCCTGCAACAGTCTGTCATTGTGATTGCACAAGACTACATTTAAACTTACGCATTGACACGAGCAGCAATTTCCTTCCATGCCCTCTCCCTCTCCTTTGCAGCTGCTGCTGTAATGCACTTTCGTTTTAAAGGGGACCTGCCATAAAAATGTAATTTTTGTTTTTTTTTGTGTCAGATAAGGTCCATATTATGTCCATCTTATGTTGTACATGTGAAAACAAACCGTTACGTCGTTTGCATTCTGTAAAGGTTTAAAATCAAGGAACGAGTAAACCAGGCCAATAGAAAAAGCCCGTCGGTGTTACGTTGCGCCGACCTTGCTCATTATTATTCACGAGCCTGTCCTCGGTGAGCCGTGCCCACTCTCTCGTTCTCGTACTCAGTCACAGCCAGAGCGAGACCCAGCTACCGCTGTATCCGCTATGGGTCTCTTCCAAACGATCGGTGTTTCCTTCGGTTCACTGCCGGGAAAATGAACTTAAAGCCGGGCAGAATGAATGAGAAAACACCGCTGGAGATCTCTGGCTTCTTCCTCAACTTCCACCTCCTCTTCGGACTCGGGGTCTAAAATATATGGTTTAATACCTGCCGTTTTTAGCCTTTAGCATAAGGTGACCAGACGTCCCCGATTTCCGGGGACAGTCCCCGTATTGGATGATCTGTCCCCGGCAAAAGCTTTTCATTAATGAGAGCAAAAATGTTGCGTGTGGGCTCGAACAACAGTTATTACAGTAGCCGAATTTAGTTAGCAGTCCTGAACAACAGTTCTTAGGGGGTTATTACAAGGGGCATGCGCTGCTACTAAATAGTACCGAGACTTTGTCTGTGATCACACAGCCCCTGCAGCCCCTGCACCACCGCCGCCGCACCGAATCTCCCCGGATATCATTACAGACATCTGGGCACCTTACTTTAGCACACATTAGCATATGCTATTAGCATTAGCATAATAACAGTGGATAAACCGAAATCCGAACCTCCACTGCTGAGCCAATCAGAGCACAGCAGGCTTCACAGCAGCGATCCAATCAGAGCAAAGCTCATTACCACAAATGTTAATGAGCCAAAACCAGTTGGTTTTCCTGTAAGGTTTTTTAGGCATACTAAAACAAACCATAAAATAACTTTTCAGCTAAAATTATGTTGCAAACATGATCAGAGGACATCAAGGATTATGAAAAATTGATAAAAATGGGTATGAAATTTTGGTGGCAGGTCCCCTTTAAAATGTGCTGTAATTCACTGTAGGCTTGCATTAAGACTTCCTGCTCCACTGGTGTAAAAAAGGCTGCCCTCCTTCTCCCTGTTTCCATGGTTGATCAATGAATCTGGGCTCCACAGATGCTGGCTGTTTATATCTGGCGTACACGTGCTTAACTCCAGGTGAAACTACTCGGAGTTGCTAAAACTGACTCAAATCAGGTGTTGTGAAACCGGAAACTCAAAGTTTCCTATCTCAGAGTAGATCAACTCAGAGTTAAGGATTTGACTCAGAGTTTGTTGAACCACCTACGTGAAACAGACCCCTGGTGTGTAAGGCCCCTTAACTCTGGTTAGGTGTTTTTTTTTAGTGGCAGTCCGAGCTGACTGTGCCTTTTCCCGGAAACAGCAATTTTCTGTTGTTCAGTTTGTTCAATTGTTTGTTGTTAATAAATTTGGGCATTTGCCTCTGCATTTTTGGATCCTGGCCTTTGTTTGATTCCTAACAATCGTAGCTTTTAGGCAAAGGAATTTGTTGTTTATAATCTAAATTTATGATGTCTCAATCATATTTCGTTTAACTATATGTCACAATACATATTGCTTGTGAGTCTACCTGCCCAAGGACTGCAGACGGAAACTACATCAGCTAAATCAAGTACAACACATCCCCTCTCAGTAACTGCAATCAACTGAACCGTGAATGTCTTATTGAATGCCATATGTGAGGAGCTTTGACCACAAACATTAGTCTCAGGGCAACACAGTGACTCACGTTAGTCACTGGGATTTATTCTCTGAGGACCACAACCTAATTTATTTCTCCTTCTGCACAGCAAACCTGTCGGTATTGAGCTAAACCCTCACTTTTGTGTAATAGAAGACAGTCTTGTGTGCAGTATCTGCAGTACTCGATGTAACCCTCAGAAACACAAACCTAAATACACCGAGCACTCTCCTCCTTTTACTTCTTTATTTATACTGTTGGCAAAGTTTTCATTGAGCCTCTTTATTGGTATTCACTGTGAGTGTTCTGTAGGAAGGAGGAGAAAAGCACTGGTCCTGACACAACCTCTGAAGCAGCGACAAGCCCCTCTTAACCTGCAATATCAACACAAACTGAGATTAAATGAAGTGGGTGAGGTGTATTAGAGCGCATCAACTCTAAGGGCTTCAAACAGTACAGGCCTGAATGAATCAGAGGACACAAAGGGAGGAGAGGAAGCATCAGGAAAACAAGACATTGTTTTTAGTCTTTGTGGATGCTATTTATCTACATTTTCATGCCCCCTGCTAGCAACCTCCCTTTCACTTACATATTCACCGCTGTGCTCAGCATGTGTCTCTCTTTGTGAGTCTGTAGGGACACATGAATCTTCTGAAGTACTGAAATGGTCAGCTCAGCGCCTCCGTCATCACTAAATGCTCTCTCTGAAGCTCAAACAGCCTCACAGTCACTCCTTTGGGTGCAACAGCCCTTCCTTCTCCTCTGATAAGCCTGAGTCAGAGCCCTGCTGACGACACTCATGATGCAATATGCCCTCCTCATTGCAACAAGTGTGACCATCTTCTGCTGTGTCGAGCAGAGAGTCTGTCTTTGTGGTGAAGGGTTAAGTGGTCACAGTTTAGGCTGCGGGAGCAATTTGATGAAAATTACATTTCAGATGAAGGGCATGTGGGGTTTGTCTTTTTTACTACTGGGGTCAACTGTAATTGGTGTAGCATAAACTTAAAAGTATAACTAGTGATATCTGTCCACAAGATCGATATAGGCTTTGTGCATGTCAAACAGATGATTGTTTACTGAACAAAAATATAAACACAACACTTGTTTTTGCTCCCATTTTTCATGAGCTAAAGTCAAAGATCTAAGACTTTTTCCATGGACACAAAAGACCTATTTCTCTCATATATTGTCGACAAATTTGTCTTAATCTTTGTAAGTGCATCCTTTACTGAGATAATCCATCCACTTCACAGGTGTGGCATATCAAGATGCTGATTAGACAGCAGGAATTTTGCACAGGTGTGCCTTAGACTGGCCACAATAAAAGGCCAGTCTACCTTTTTGAGAGGCCTTTTATTGGGGCCAGTCTAAGGTACACCTGTGCAATAATTATGCTATCTAATCAGCATCTTGATATGCCACACCTGTGTAGTGGATGGATAATCTCAGCAATGGGGAAGTGTACACTTACACAGATTCTGACAAATTTGTCCATGATATTTGAGAGAAATAGGTCTTTTGGCACAAAGAGAAAGTCTTAGGCTGTTTCCGAAATAGCATACTGCCTACTGTCTACTTAGCTACTCAATCAGTACTTACTGCATACTGAATACTCAAAGATGATTTGAGTATGCCGTGGCTGCCCGAGC